GCACAGCGAGGGGAGGTCGCGAAGGATCCGAAAGATCTGAGGTTTCACCGCGGATTCTCGTATCTGCCTATTAACGGCTCGAACTAATTTCCCCGAGCTTTCTCGTCGAGCTCTGATCCTCGCACGACACGTGCGCGGCAACGGCGGCTCGGCAGTCTCGTTTGCGCGCTTTTAATTTCGCGCGGCTAGAAATTCCGCAGCGCCGGCGGAAGCTTACGTAACTTTTCCGGCTAATTGCCCCGCTACGAGATACACCCCCTGGAAGAAGCCGCTTCGCGCTGCTGGGGCGCGACCGTTTGGCCGGACAAAAGTGCGGCAATCTCGTCGGGTTACGGCGCGTAGTGACGGGCCCGAATGAATTCGGCAACGTGTAATTATCGATCGATCCGGAAGCGAAAAACCGGCGCGGGACGGGAGAGCCTTCCGCATTTCTCGTGGGTGAAGAAGACTCGTGGGCGAGTCCGCTGCCTCTCGCCGTGGGCGTTATTTGCGAGTAAACATTAGGTGACCAAAAAAGTTCCGTCACTCCTTGAGATGTAAATAAAAATGTTTGTATATTATATTTTTATTGTATATTATATATTTAAAATAATTTTTTAACTATTTTATGTAAATGAAGTTTGTTTCATCGCTCGGTCTCAGCGAAACTCTTCAGCGAGCATCTAACACGTCAAATTTGAATTTGTTTCAATTATTGTCTTTAATTCATCAGTATCTACAATAAATTTGAGAGTCTTCTGAAGGATTCATCTTCTGAAGCGAAATTTTTCAACCCTCTCCGAGCGGTTCTTGACGTTGCTGCATTTATTTGGCACAGACATTTTGAAGAGTTGAAACATCGCTTTAAATCGATGTTAACGATAACGTTCGAAACATTAAATACGAGCAAAAATATGAAATTTATCGCTCAGTTAACACACGATAATGAGTTATTGTACACATAAAGGGTTATTCAAACTATAAAACACGCGCGAGCGACAGGACTTTTTTGATTACCTGATATTAATAGCGCCAACAAATGTCGCGTTGTATTGAATATTCGGCGATTATGGAAACACGTATGACAAACGCACATGTCGGTTCTAAAAAGAAATTAGAAATGGACTTTGCACAAAATAATTACTCGTTATCGTCATCAGTGCGTCATCCAGAACCACGCAGACATCGCACAGCGATACTGCTAGAAAATCGGATTAGTGTCTGCCAAAAAATTGAATTTTGGATATTTTTTGTCCGGCCAAAAAATATCCAAAAATAAAAAAAAAATTATAGAACAATCATAATGTGTACAGCACTCGACGGTTAAGTCGTAATTTGTCTAAAGAAGCTAAACTAAAGAACGCGCGTGCGATTGGCCGGTGGTTGACGCGCATGAAGAAGAATCCACGAGCAATTTCCCCTCCCCTTCACCGTCAACCCGAACTTGTTCCAAAATCAGTTCGGAAACTTTGGTTTTAGTTGGAAGGTCTTAAACTAACTTGGATACGTTCCGTAGTTGATCAGCTGATCAATTATCAAGATAATAGGTAGTAAGACATCTATCTATCCGTTTCCCTATCTAATGTTACAAAATTAACCAGTCCATTGATAATGGCTGATATATGAATGAAAAAAAGAAGTGCCACAACTGGTAATGACTCATACATGAGCGCCATGAATAGCTCTGCCAATTTTCAACGGATTTGTATCAAACTTGACTTTTTGGGTCGATGACTATGAATCCGGAATCAAATGTGAGAAATCATAATGGCGGATCCAATATGGCGGCGCTAAACTGCTAAGTTTTGTCAGTTTTTGAAAAATATTTATTAAGATTGATATTCCCATTCGATTTTATACAAAGTTTTCTTTATAGAAGGTTTCTCAGGTCGTTGCTGACGAGTCCGTGGTCGAAATTTTAAAATTCAAAATGCTAGATCCAATATGGCGGCTCCAAGTGACCAGCTTTGTTATTCCATTATGGAGGAAATTATTTTCAATATGTTCATGTTTTCCGGGTTGCTGAATTCAGTCGAAATTGCAAAATCTCTAATAGCGAATCCAATGTAACCTCTTCTAACGACTAACGGTGTTCTATTATAGATATTCTTACCTCCATTATTAGCGAGTGAAATATGTTGAAGGAAACTGCTTTTTTGCCAAATGGCTCTAGTAGAAACTTTAGATTTATAACAGTTATTATCTGCGGCTAAAAGAAATACGTACCAAGTTTGATACGTACTCATAACGGAATATCAAAGTTAGTCGCTTGAAACCGCCATATTGGATCTGTCATTTTACATTTTGAAATTTCGTTCCTGGATTCGCCAATATCAGCAACTCTTACAAATAAGCTTGTAAAGTACAAAATTATTCGTTCTCACCAGCTTTGCCACAAAACGTTGATTTCGGGCCCGCCAATGGACAGTAAATAGCAAAAACCAAGTTTGTAAACAGAAACAGTGTATGCCAAGCGAAGTGAAGGTCCAAGCGTGATCAGCTGATGAATTACGGAACGTAAGTCTAAGTTTTTTATAGTTTAAGGTCCACCAACCTTCTGCAACTAAAAGCAAAGTTTCCGAAACCGATTTCGGAAGCTCTGGAGAGGAATCAAGACACAGGAGATAGGAACGTTTCGGAGCGACGACGAAATGATTTGGGCAACGTTCGATCCCCTCGCTGCAAGGAGTAGGGGGGGAGGGAGGCACGCACGGGCCGTACGATGTAACCTATCGTGGGAAGGAGCTCGGGGAGGTGAGAAAGCGGAAAAAGTGATCACGCATAGAAGAGTCGTTCACCTCCTTGAGCCGCGTTTGCCGCGCTGCGTTGCCATCGGAACTTTTCATTTGCCCGCGGAATTAACCCCTTGCACTATGATTTAAGTCGCGACAGCGCATGCCAAAGTCGGTGACAAAGTTGTACCTATAATGCCCAGTTTACATAAATTGCAACTCGCAAAACGTAAATCGCACACGCAGAACATTGACCAAAACACGTGAAAATTGAATCACAAGTCTCACTTGTGTTTCCTACATTTGGCTTGACAAGAAACATACGATGAATCTTACCCGTTCTTCTTATAATTAGCCCGATATACGTACCACAAGCCTGATTTCTTATATTTGACTCGAATTCCTTCCTACGAGTCTCACACGATTTTGTAGGTTAGGTTAAACGCCGCGGCGTGCGAGCGGCTCTCTCGAGTGTCGCGGCGTACAGGTGAATGGCCATTACGCGAATAATTCCACCTTACCCGTTCTTTCCCACGAGAATCGCGTGAGGAGGAGGAGGAGGAGGGGGGGGGGCAGGTAAAGAGGGAACGATAATTGCAGCCGCAGAAACGCGAAACATTGTGCGTCGAGCATCGCGCTCTTCCTCGTGCTGAACTGGAACTTCTCCCAGGAAGCTCCGAGACGGTCTCGAAGTCGAGCGCGATCGACTTCCATCGAACGAGCGGCCCGGAGTCCCGACAGACTCGCGGAACTCTGCGTGGTGAGTCGACGTCGCCGGAATCGCCGAAACTCGATTTGCCACGCCGCTATTCGGCGTGGAAAAAAAATCGTCGCTTCGGCTAACGATTAATTCGATTCGCGCACGGCACGGTGACTCAACAAGGTCGACGCGAGGAGGGGTTTCCGCGCTCTCCGCCGGGACAGAGAGAGAGCGAGAGAGAGAGAAGGAGCGGAGGGGGAGGGGGAGAGAGAGAGACAGAGAGAGCGAGCGAGCGAGTTCGGGGAGACGCGTAGACAAATGGAACTTGATTGTGTCCTAAGTGCCGGGGGATGAACCGACAGTTTTGAAGGGTAACACTGGCGTCATCGTCAAACATTGGATCACCGCTTGACATTTTCCCCACGGGAGCGCGTTATACACCGGTGCGCTGTGTTACACGCACTATTAATCCCGGCCCATTATACGCTCTAATGGTTCCGCGGAATATTTTTATCGGCGCCGGCCGGCTGCGACGTCGCAAGAGGCACGTGTCCTCTCGCGCTTTTCTACCCCCCTCCTCTCTCTCTCTCTCTCTCTTTCTCTCTCTCTCTGTCTCTCTCTCCCTTTCTCCCTCTCGTGTGCTCGCGCGCGTACACACACACACACACGCACGTATATGCCGCTGCGCGCGAGGCGCCGGAGCTTCGTTATCGTTGGATCGTTCGATAATTACTCGCGGAGATCAGTTAATCGAATCAAAGCCGTCGATATCACCTCGGTGCGCGATATTTAACCGGCGCTTGATTAGCGACAGAATCTCGCTAGCGATATCAGATTTCCTACAAAACGCGATCAAACGCACCGCCGCCGCCGCCGCCGCCGCCGCTGGCAAAATGACGAATATGCGAGCATTTGCATACCATCAGATCGGCGAGTTATTCCGTCGAAACCGCACGTCGACGCGCGCGTTATCGTCGCCCCGTCCGCCCGCCCCCTCCCTCCTCCTGCCGCTGCCCCCGCGGCGTACATATGTACACACATGTGTATGCGTGTGTATATACACCGTCCGGGAGATCGGCGCAAACGGCCGATAAATCCTCGCGAGAATTTAATAAAGTTGCCGCTGACGCGTGACTAAACGCTGCCGCGTGTTATCAGGTGGCAGCGGTGTCGGCGGGGGCGGGGCGGGGGCGGGCGGGAAAAAGTGGAAAACGCGTGACAACGGCTCGCGACGAATTCCGATGGGCACGACGGCCGTTGACACGTCTCCGCCAGACCGCTTTCGTCGACTACTCTCGACTACCACTCGACGCATCTTGCAAAGTGAAGCCATACAGCTGCGGCAATACTTGCTGCAACGTTGCAACTAAACAACTTGCAACGTTGCTGCAAGTTTTGTGCCGTATCCATCCACCTTCCTCGTCGTCTCGCTCTGTCTCGCGACCGCGAGGACACGCAGTTGTCTCGCTTGTTGTCCCCACGGGGTCGCTGGTGACCAGCGAGACTGCTAAGAGATATACGAGAAAGCCTCGCGGCGCGGACCAAATGAATTTAGGACGGCAATTCGGCCGCTGTCTTTCGCGACTTACGTCGAGGAGTCCACCGTGAAGAAGTCCGTGTAAATCTTCAGCAGCTCACCTCCCACCACGTAGCCCAACGCGGGTCCTATTATGGCCATAGTGTAGTAGATACCTGGCGAGACACACATTTCACAAGTCTCGTTGAGATCGAAGAAATCGATAAGCGGCCTGCGAGCGCGTCGCCTCGTCGGCGAGACGTCGCGCGCGCGCATCTTACCTAGATACACCGAGGACATCTTCTTCGAGACGTTCTCGTCTAGATACGTCACCCCGAGTGTATAAAAGGGCGCCGCACCGGCGCCATGTAGCAGCTGAGCTACCAGGAATATGGTTAAGTACACGCCACTGTAAGGCTCTAGCTCCGCTTGAACGGCCGATCCTGTGCAGGATATCTGAGAGAAAGAGAGTGACAGAGTGGCCGGAATCATCACGGAGGTCTGTCGTGAAATCGGTTTCGGAAACTTTGGTTTTAGCTGTAAGGTTAGCAGGCCTTAAAATAACTCAGGCCCAGTTCCACGCACTCGAGCTTAACTGAACGACTGTTACGCTTGACGTCATGGTTAAACTCGCATCGTCATCAGATATTTACAACTGTATTTTACGTAAATCTATAGTCTGTACGAAGGATTTCTCCTTCGTGTCAAACACAGACAGAGATGGTAAATGGTTAGTGATAAATTCGCCGGTCGGAAGTAGGACAGAAGGAAAGACGTAAGGACGAAAACCATGTTGCATGTCGGAATCTCGTGTCTGCAGATTGTGTGCGCGTGTCAACGGTAGCGCAGAATTTTGTACTGTGTTTACTGAGCAGTCAAAATGCAAATGACGCATTAAATATTGTATATTTAAGCATATTATCAACATAATTATAAATTTTTATATATTAATTGTTTGCTTGTATATTCTTTGTTTTATTGAATTTATGATAACCGACCTTTATGTTATTGCTGCCTCGTTCCGTTGTGGAACCGTCGAATTAAAAGTCCAACATTCTTTTTTAATCAACTTTATATGATACTTATTATTCTGTTTTATGAGAAATGTTCTGCTTGATTCCTGCTAACACTGCAGTACTCAATCAGTAGACAATATTTTTTTAACGTTTCTCAAATATTCATTTTATATTTTTTCTACATTTCTTCCATTCATTGTAGAAAAAATATTTGTTTAACGTTTATTCGGTGTATATTTTACATTAATTCTTCATTTAAAGTAATAATTAAGAAAAAATATTTATTTGACGTTTACTTAATGTTTATTTAATATTTATTTTACATTAATAACTTGTTTTAAATTATTTCTAACGTCTTAAGAATGTTTCTTAAATATTTTTTAAATATCTTTAAAAACATTTTTTAAATATTTTTTTCTGATTGGATAACAGATTCTCTTTGGATGAGCGAAATCGCGCATGAAAATCGGATTCTTCTAAATATAATTTTTTTTATAACTTTTGGGCGCCGATAAATTAAATCTTCGAAATCTTTATCCTCAGATGAAGATGATATATATTCTAAAGCCATATTTTCCAACAAATTTATTCCTCACTTTTTGTATAGATTAGTTTCTCATTACTTTTCGACATTCGATAAATCGCGATGGTGTACCAACATAACCCCAAAAAGTTGGGCAACTCGACTCTGAAATGGCACTGCAGTATTATTCCTTCGTTTATGTTATTAAACGTCCAAAATTCGGCGTTTAACTTTAACCACAACAAATCGACGGTAACCGAAGTTTATGACAATTGTGGAATACAACATTTCCTTTGAACTAGATTTAGAACGAGTTAAACTTCGTTCAAAGTGAATTATGAAATCAGGCCTTAGACACGTTCCATGATTAATCAACTGATTAATTATCAAGAAAATAAATAGTAAAAAATATATCTATTTTTTTATCTAATATTACAAAATTAGTGGTTAAAACCAAGTTTGTAAACAGAAGTGGTGCATGACTGTGAACGTCCAAGCATGATCAGCTGATCAATTGCGGAACGCATCTGAGTTAATCCAAGGCTTATCAAGCTTATAACTAAAACCAAAGTTTCCGAAATCGATTTCGGAGCAGGCCTATGGTAAGATCGCCGATTGAGAGTAACGACTACGCTAAATGGATGCATCGGCGGCGGTGGCGATGGAGAAGAAAAGAACCTGATGGAATCGATCCTGATCGCTTCTAACCATAGACATAGTATATCTAGACTGCGCTATCTCTTAAATTTCAAGAGCGGGGGTAAAGCTCGCGTAGAAAAGGATGCATTTTGTTTTGTGCCTATGCGTGATCTCTCCACTTCTCGACACGCAGTCTAGGTATACTATGTCCATGCTCCTGACCATGTTTTTGTTACTGTGCGATCGTAGCGCTCGGAGATCGCGAATTAGCGCGGAGAAGGCACGATTATCTTCACGCATGGAGATAATCGTGGCGGGGATGCGACAATGCGGGATGACGAGTGCTTAACCCTTTGTGTGGCACATATTTTCTATCTAACAAATTTTTGTGAAATCTTGCTATTTCTATGTTTTTGGCTCGCCGATCACAAATCTGAGATCAGATTTCAAAAATTCAAAATGGCGGGTCCAATATGGCTGTTATATAAGAAAAAATGGATGTAAGTCAGATCAACACGCTATAAATGTTTCTCAGACTGTTAATTACGAGTTTCATGTCGGACTTACAAAATTCATTCGAGTGATTTGTTTATAAAAGAAAATCTAGCGAAGAATTCTGGAAAAAAAATGTATTATATTTTGGCACGTGAAGGATATTCAAAAATTTGCAGCCTCTAATCTTAAGCGCTTTCCAAGGAATTAGATTTTCTTTAAGTGATTTAAGAAATCACTTTTTTCAACTTATTTGCCACCACACGTACACACACACACAAAGGGTTAAACGAAGGAAATTTTCAGCTACATTTCCCGAGTAATGATCTAAGACAGCTCTTAACGATGATCGCTCACCGAACGGCCGGCCGAGGTATTGGCGGCACTTTGGCATAAGTTTTCCGTCTGCTGACCTCCCCGGTACGGTCCGGCGAGATAATGCGGCGTCGCGAAGAGCAGGCTTCCTATACCTAAGACTAGAACTCCCACGCCGATGTACCTGCAATAGTTTGGTAATTTCCGGTTAGAATCGCAGGTAAGATGAGGACTCTCGACTCGTTGACGCGCCCGATGTGTCCGGAGCAAGTCGGGCTCGACGGAGTCGGCGACGAACGCAGGTTTTCGTTCTAACGCGAAACGGCGTGCATTAACTTCAGCAAGGATACTCTCGATCGCGAGACTCCCTCTCGGAGGGAGCGATCGCCGGCGACGGTGTCCACCGGCGGAAGTCTGAGATCTCCGTGGGTCCATCGATTATCGATTATGACCGCTCGCGGAGGGTGCACGGCAAAGAAACGGGATGGAGATTAACGCCGACAGGGTGTCGGACGGACTGATGTAGGGATTAATATTTATGAGAATCGTCGAGCGGAGGTGATATCGGTATTAATATTAATGCGTAAGACAATGGCGCCGTGGCGACACACGCGCGCGCATGGTGCTCGTACCTCGGTTTCGACGCTTTCGACCGGCCGCCAAGGTAGCTCACTGGTACGAGCAGGAGGAAGCTGGCGATGTCGTAACCGCCCGCTATCAAGCCGGTCTCCGACGATTTCAGTCCGAATCTCCTCTCGATCGTCGTTATGACGACGTTTATAAAACCATTCACGACCATTCCTGGAACAACGAGTACGCGCGCTTAGCAGAGACCCGAACTCTCTATGTTCGTGCGCCATCGGTCCTCGAGAGATATTCGTTGGTAGGTCATGAGGTCCAACTGCGATATCTTGTTGACCGTCAAGAAGCAGAGGATCGTGTGTGATTATTGGAAACGTCCTTTGAGAAAAATTATGTTCTCTATGTCGCGCAACGCGAGCTTGAAGAAGCGAAACTTAACGCTTTTGACGCAGCATTACGCTTGGATAGTTTTAACAATTAGCTCGATAGAGATGAGATGAAATTGCTGTTGGCATTTTCTCTGGGCATTTTCGCCAGGCGAATTCCGAATTTCAGTCTCTGCGGCGTATATGCGGTAATAACGCAAACGTCTACCATGTGAAGATAGATATTGAAAATATTTTACACATTTTCTGCGCAATGTAATCTCAATTATCTGTGAACGTCACCTTAGATTATTTCGTAAAGATGCTGATGAAGTTAATATACATTCACTAACTAGATAAACATAAGTTATCAGAACTTTAGATAATCATCTATACAGTGTGTTAAAAAAAGGAAAGGGTTCAGAATTTTAAGGGTAGATAGTATTCACAAAATGCAGGAAAATAGTCCTAATAAACATGAGCAAGAAATTAATATTGTCGGGAAAATTAACATTGTAACAATTATTTATTTTAATTAAAGCGACTTAGTGGCTTTTATACTCTCTGATGCAAATTATCTACGTCGTTTATTGGTGGAGAGTGCTCAAAGAAATTCCTAAGAAAAGTCTCTTCGCTTTTGTACAGAATGTCGACAAACATCTATTTTCTTTACACTTAAACGCACACTTCACCAAGCAATTGTTAGTCACATATCCTCGTGAAGAGAGTAAACAGTTGCAGAGAGCTGTCACAAAGTTTTCATAGTACGCTAAGAATGACGTGCTGCTCCAATTAAGAAATAGAAGAAGTGAATTTCACGTATGGCTGTACGAGAAGCGAGCAAGTCACTTGCTTCAATTAAAATAAATAATTGTTCGCAACTCCGCCAATATGAATTTTTAGATCCATGTTTATCAGGGCTTTCTTCCTCCATTTTGCGAGTACTGTCTTGCAAGTACCTTAAAGTCCACAGTCCCTTTTCCAAACATCCTGTAGATAAAAATAAATTGGTACCAGAATTTTATCTGGATGATCACCTGTATAACTTTATCTAGAAAAGAACAATTCGGGTCAATATCTGCCGATAATAACAGCCTATAATTGGGATATAGATTCGAAGGGTCCCTATGAACCAGCAAGCTGAATTTTTTGCAGCTGAACTTCCCACACTTCTCCAAGTATGGGAAATGTAAATATACAATATTAGCCCTCCGGCAATTTAAATAAAAGCCCGGAGAGTTTAGCGAGTTTTGCTTCTTAACCATTCGGCACACCTTTTTACTTCTACGTCAATATTTTGAGAATGGAAATGATATGTGATCTCATAAAGAGCAAAAAGTGATTGAACAAATAAAGTTAGTAATTCAAACAATCCAACGTAACCTAACCTAAAGTCTATAAGACATGCTTGAATATAAGGGATGTAATCATCCTAAACTGAACCATAGCGTCGAGTTTGTTTACTAAGAAGCGGAACTAATACCCAGATGATTGAATCCCAGTGGAGACCTTTACAACTCAGGTTACAAGGAGACAATATTTTATCGGAGTAACTCGACTATCACATCTGCGAGTATCTTCGGCAGCAAGAGGTGCGTCAAATGAACCTTGATCCGTTCTCAGAACTGATTAAAGCGATTAGATAAATTTATCCTAGCAAAGGTTGTTAAGTGGACCTACCGTTAAGAAGCAAAAGTCCTGAAACTCGGTTCTTAAGAAACAAATAGACTACTAACAAACAATTAATAAACAATTGTTGGGACCAATATTTTATATTCAGTATTCCCACACCTACACAAGTGTACTCCAAAAATCTCAGCTAACTCATAGGGGTCCTTCGGAATTACAGCCTCTAACTGTAACACGACAATATGACAGAGACTAAATAGAGGTAGATTTATGCATTCGTACGCACAAGGAGGGTGCTTGCCTCTTGAAAGACCGTCTAAGCGAGTTCTCGCGATCCGCAGGTGGCGAGCGAGCATTTTTTCACACGATAAGCGCGGCCGTGAAAATGTCAGTGATCAGGTTCCTTCAGATTCACGACGACTCATAACGCGGTTAAGAACCCGCAGCTGGGGAGAAGGATTCACATACTCGTTGACCAGTTCACTGGTGGACCCGAAATCAATGTTTTGTGTCAAAACTAGTGAAAGCGAATATTTTATATGGAAACTTATCTATAAGAGTTTCTTTGGGTCGTTGGTGACAAATTCAGAAACGAAATTCCAAAATTTTAAAAAACGGATCCAACATGGCGGCTCCAAGTGGTTAACTTTGATGTTCCATTATGTGTGGATATATATCAAAATTCAACATGATTCTTTTTAGTCGTAGATAACGATTGTCATAAATTCAAAATTTCCACCAGAATCATTCGGCAAAGAAATAATTTCTTTCAACATACTTCACTGGATGATAATAGAGGTAAGAATATCCATAATAGAATACCATTAGTCACTAGAAGCCATATTGGATCCGCCATTATAGATTTCGCAATTTCGACTGAATTCATCGTCAACAAGCCGAAAAACATAAACATCAAATATGATCTCCACAGTGAAATAAAATTAGTTTCTTGGAATCTCCATATTAAATCTGCCGTTTTGAATTTTGAAATTTCGACCCTGGTTTTGTCATCAGCTACTTGAAAAACCTTCTATAAAAAAGGTATCATACTAAATCAAATAGAGATATCAATCTTAATAAATATTCTTCAAAAACTGACAAAATTGAGTATTTCAGCGCCGTCATATTGAATTCGCCTTTTTAGATTTTGCGATTTCGACTGAATTCATCGTCAGCAACCCGAAAAACATCAACATATCGAACATGATGATTTCCTCCATAATGGAATAACAAAATTAGTCACTTGGAGTCGCCATATTGGATGTGTCATTTTGAATTTCGAAATTTCGACCCCGGTTCGTCACCAGTTACCCGAGAAACCTTCTATAAAAAAGATTTCACACAAAATCAAATGGGGATATCAATCTTCATAAATATTTTTTAGAAACCGACCAAATTGAATATTTAAGCACCGCCATGTCAGATCCGCCATTGTGCATTCTCAAATTTGATTCCGGATTCATAGTCGGCGAACCAAAAAATACGAGTACATCAAATCTGATGTAGATCCGTTGAAAGTTGGCAGGGCCATTCACGGTGCTCATGTATGAGCCATTACCAGTTGTGGCACTTCTTCTCCTCGCTCAAATGCGAGTCACTAGCAGTGAGCTGGTTAAGAAGCGTATTCTCGCTTTCAGCCTGCGGGATATTTCGCCGGGAAGCACGCCCGTAAATATCGTTCGCGCTCCTTTAGACTCGCCCGTTGTTGGGTCGTGCGCGGTCGTGGGAAGCTGACGGCACTACAATGCGTCATGCTTCTTCCGCCAGTCCCCGCTGTATCGCGGCGGGGTAAATGCGCCCCTCAGGACGCATTTAACAGATACACTCTAATCCCGTGGAAGCGCGCCCTGCGGCGCGCGAGAGCGCGCGGCCGTCGCGGACGGAAAACTTGAAAAATAGCGCGCGCTCGCGCTGTTGAGATTTCTTATCTCTCTTCGTCTATCCCTCAACGCGTCCTTCCTCTCTCTCTCTCTCTCTCTCTCTCTCTCTCTCTCTCTCTCTCCTCCCTGCTGCCCTCTTCCCTTCGCGCCCGCCGCGTCCTCCAGCTGTATACACACGTCTCCCGCACCCCCGTAAATACGAGACGCTTGACATCGGTCCGACAAACTCGATTTCCGCTTATCGCCAGTCATCGGCCGGGCCCTCCTCCGCCGCCGCTTGCCCTCCCCCGTTGCAGCTCCCCGGTGAAAGCCCCCGAAATTGCATTCGAACATACGAACGGCTATTAGCGCCGCCTAAACGGTAACGTCGCGCCGCGTCAAACGCTACCGCGAAATTACGCGTTCAGGCGCAGGGAGGGAGGCGCGACCGCCCCCGACCCCATCAGCGAGAGGAGGCAGAGGGCGGCGAGGAGGAGATGCCGGGAGATGAAAATACACGCGTCCCTGACACTCGCTCGTCTAATCTCGGCTGATCGAAGGTGAGTTCACGCTTTACGCACCGACGCTCGGCCGGTGCTAATGACGGCCTCTCGAAGGGGCGAGTTCTCGCGAGCGCGCGCGCGCAGCGAGCCCTCTCTCTTTCTCTCTCTCTCTCTCTCTCTCTCCTCTCTCGGGGCGCTATTATTAAAAAGCGCGCTCCCAGCAGAGCGACGAATCGCTGGTAAACTGCTGGTAAGACTTGAAACGTACCTTGCATGGCTCCCGCCCAACACAGCCAGAAGAGCGCCCACTTGGCCGTGCGGAATCTCTGTAGGTAGAGCGGCCTGAACCAGAACCAACCGCACTTGAGACTGTCCGCGGCCCTGTCAGTCTCCTTGGGAGCCTCCGGCTTGATTTCCGGCTTCCTCGGCCCGTCCCCGAACTGCTCCGGGAAGCTGGACAGGGTCTCGTGCATGTCCGGCACTCCCGACTGGAAATTACACCGACCGCGAGGGTCATCGGTTACTAGCTATCGCTTGAACTCGCGATAAGTCATGACCGCGGACGCGCCTGAGGGAAACGCATAAGAGAGTGCTGATGAGAACGCTGGTGGGGAATTTTGCGGATCACGCGATTCACCTCAAGCCGGAAAAGAGAGAAAACGCGCTCAGCCTCGGTTCGCTCGCTTCACAGCGAGCAGAATTTTGTCTCGCTTCTTCGAGATGAACGGCCAGTGCTTCGCAAGAAGCAGGGCCTGAAGAGTGAGCAAGCAAGTGCATCAGAAGCGGATCGCAGAGGTGTCGCGGTTCCCGGCTGTACTCAGAACTGAATGATCGAAAGCGACGCAATGTTGACGCCGATGCGGCGAGCGAACTTGAGGAGAACTCGCGAAGGGGTGGACTCGATCGGTGTTTCTTTTCACTTCCCGCTATCTCGCGACCGTGGTCTCGTAGGGACAAGAGGAGACGTCAACATTCCGAGCAAAAAATTGTTAGGGCCATCCTCATGAAGCATAAAAGGCACCGATAAGGCTGAAAATAGAATGCCTTAAAACGGGATGCCTCATTACTATCAGGTCCCGAAATGGATCTTTTAAGGGTACCTTAGATTTTATGAAATCAGGCTTTGATAAGGAAAATTAATGAGGGCCTTGGAAGGATTTTTTAAGGATACTTTAGATCTAATAAATTTTAGTGAAGAAGGCTTTAGTGAAGAAAGTTGAGAAGGGCCTTAGGACGATTTTTTAGGGATGCCTTAGATTTAATAAATACGGCTTTCATAGAGGGAAAACTGATAAGGGACTTGGAAGAATTTTTTCGGGATGCCTTAGTTCTAATAAATGAGGCTTTGATAGGAAAAGCTGAGAAGGGCCTTAGGATTTTTAGGAATGCCTTAGATTTTACGAAATAACGCTTTAACGTGGAAAACTGATGTGGGCCTTAGGAGGATCTTTCAAGAGGAGATGCTTTAGATATGCAAAATCAAGTTTTGTTATAGAAAATTAATAAGATCTGAAGCGTGTAATAAAATTGTCATAATTCCTTACCCGCCGTAGGTCCTATTAATGTTGCCTTATAAGGACCCGTTAAACCATTTCTCACACATCTCGCAGGGCCCTTGTCTTTCTATCCCTACCAGGGCCTGATTAATATTAGAGAAAAATAATCACGCCCTTACCAGAGCCTTATTAATTTTTCTATTCGGGGCGTTACAAATTTTTGTCTCCAAGAAAATTGTTTCGGACAAAAGTTGCAAAGTATATGAAGGAAAATGTAAGATTTTTGACGTTACAGAAATATTTCAGGTGACTTTCAAGGTTATTTCTCGGTCGACTTAATTTTATCAAACGAAAATGGGTGTTTTTTTTTTAGACGGATATTTTTTTATACCGAAGACTGAAAGACTGTTTAATTTTAATGCAAAAAATGTATCTCGAAATTTCTTTTAGTTTAGAAGAAATCTGTGTGTTAAAATCGAACACTGAAGAAACCTCCAAAGTCTCTATTAATTTTTCCACTCGGGATGAGGGTCAACCGAGACAATACTCACGCTGAACGCAAACTTGTCCCTCATAATCGCCGTTACTTTCCCCAAGACGAACGATTTACTTCCAGCACTCGGGGCTCCCACTGATCGCGAGTCCTCTCGCCGCCGGTCTCCGCCGGAGATCAATCTCCACGCGTGGCTTCAACAAACACCATCGGGGCACAATTTCGCGCTCTTTCGCGCGTTTCGCCAAGTATTAGTCCATGCCGCCGAATGTTGAGATCACTTATCCTCGCTTTCCGCCGAGGCTCCGGCCGAGCGAAGTCGCGCCGTCGGATTTTCCCTCCGCGAAAAGTCACCGCGCGGGAACGAGAGAGAGAGAGAGAGAGAGAGAGAGGGGGGGCGGGGAGGGGGCAGGGGAGAGAAGCGATTCTCTCAGTCGGGGAAGTCCACTGGATCGCGACTCGTTAGGAATCGAGAGTCAAGCGCTCCTCACGCGCGCGATATTCTTATCGCGCAGTCTCGAACTTTTCAATGGCGCTGAATTCGTACTCCTCTCTCGCCCGGTAACGAATATTATTGTCCGCCAAGCGCCCTTACTTCCACCCTCCGCCTCGCATCTTCCTCGCCACCTCCGCCGCCCTTCCGCCCTGCCTGCCCTTCGACCCTGTTTTCCGCCGCCGCCCGCGCGCGCCAGGCTTTAATTGCAATTTTCCCGGCCGGCGAGGACTCGCCGCGGCGGCGGGATGCAAATCGCTTCGTGAGATCGCGCCGCGCGTTCCGTCTCATCGACTCGGCGAAATTGATTCCGCGGACAGGCCTCCGGCGCTCTCACCGCTCTCGATCGATCGCTGGATCGCTCGATCCCGGAGTCAACGCTTGTGCCGCGTCATCTTCCCGCGTCTTCCCGACACGCCCTCGGCCCGATTTGAATCAGCCGAGGCGCGCACTCGTCCGGCGACACCGCGAGCTGCAGCGGGAAAGAAGACGGAAGCAGCGAAGGGGAGAGAGAGAGAAAGCGCACCCCTCTCTCTCTCTCTCTCTCTCTCTCTCTCTCTCTCTTCTCTCCTTCTTTCTCGGATCCGCGGATTTCAAGTCGGCGAAACTGATAACGAGCGATCCGATAAATCAGCCGGACGCGATGCGCGGACGCATTAGAATGACACGCGGCGATTCTCGATCGCGCGCGCGCGCGCGCGCGCGACGTCCGGTCGAGAGTCGCGCGTCGGAAGCGTAGCCGGGGAGTTCGCGGAGCGCGGAGCGACCGGGAGCGCGCGTCGCACGCGACTGAAGTCCGCACCCGCGCCGCGCGTTCGAGCTCTCGCGCACCCGCTCTTAGCAGTTTTCCCCGTGAGTTAAAACGCGGTGGTACTCACATACCACCACCGGCGAACACTCCGCGCCGCGCGCCACCCCCGCGCTGCCCCCCTCCCTCCCACCCTCCCACCCTCCCTCTCCCCCCACCACTATCAGCAACAGCACCACTACCGTCTAAGCCGCCACCGGCGGCTTTTACCGCTACGCCAGACGTGGCCTCTCTCTCTCTCTCTCTCTTTCTCTCCTCCCTCTCCCCCCCTCTCTCTCTCTCTCTCTGTTTCTCCTTCCGCCCCCGTTCTCTCCTATCAATCGTTCGCCTCCCACCAGTCACGTAGAGAGAGGGGGCGAGAGAATCGGCTCTCTTCTTCTTCTTCTTCTTCTTCTTCTTCTTCTTCTTCTTCCTCCTCTTCTTCTTCAGACCATTGCACCCTCCTCGAGGCGAGGCGTTGTAAACCGCCTCCACTAGCTGTTGCTTCGCCGGCGGGAGTGCGAGCGGAAGCCAGCGCGATTCCGCCCGTCATTTAAATGTGATCAAGTTTATTGGCTCTCTCGCGCGCCCGCGCGAGCCGGGAATTTATGCATCTCGCGTAATAACACCGAGTTCCTCGCGGAAGCGCGCCGCCGTCGCCGCCGCCGCCGCCGCCGCCGCCGCGCAGTCGGATCGCGCGGCAATAAGCGTTTGCGCGTGTACGCGTGCCCGCGCTAATTAACGAGCACTCGTTATCGGTTACGCTCTGGGCGCGCTTCAAAGGCAGATAAGCGGAGAGAAAGGGGGAGAAAGAGAGCGAGAGAGGAGGGACCGTTTGCTATTCTCAAACGTCGCCGGTGTTATCGTCACCGATAATTGTCGCTTAACCTCGCAGGAGGAGGGGTGGGCGAAGGGAGGAGGGGGGAGTAACAGACGCCGGACAGGTGAAACTAACGCGGCGAGTCGCGCGCGCTTTCGTCCATGCCGCCCGTCCGTAAATTCGCCGCGGCTCGATTGATCCTTGAACAATAGGATGTTTCTGTTACTTTCTATCACTAGAAAACGGTGAGCTTTCATCCGTTTCTTTTATTCTTTTTGTCAGAGCGTGTGTGTTAGGAGTGTGATTTAGTGATTTGAAGGCTTTGCAAGAGATGACCAAGTCAGTCGTGGTGAAAATCGCGGTAAAAATCGTATTAATGCCATCTTGAAAATGGAGCTTCGTAAAGAGCATTTTTGATACGCGTTGCTTTTGTTTTTTTAATCAGAAGAAAATGGCGGCTGAGGGTCATAGAATCCCGACAGAAACTTGCGATAATGTTGCTCCATCAATTGAGAAGTGTGAATATTGGTTTGGACGATTTAAAAATGGTGATTTCAGTGTCAACGGCAAGGACAAGCTCGGGACAAGCGGAGAAACTTGAAAATGCAGATTTGCGAGAATTATTGGATGAAAATCCAGCGCAATCCACTTCAGGACTTGCCGGAGCATTCAATGTTGACGTACTAACAGTTGCCAAACGTTTATATGATATGGGAAAGATTTACAAAGAAGGAAAGTGAGTTCCTCATGAATTATTAGGAAATACCGTTGCGAACCGGTTGAACATTTGCATTTCGTTGATCGCCAGACAAAAAATGAAGAGTGTTTCGTATCGGATTGTTACTGAGGATGAAAAATGGATCTATTTCGATAATTCCAAACGAAAAAAATCATGGGTTGACCCGGGCCAACCAGCAACATCCACTTCGAGGCGCAATATTCACGATTCAAAGGTATCGCTGTATATTTGGTGGGATCAAGAAGGTGTTGTGTACTATTAAATCCGAGTGAAACTATCACCGCTGATCGTTATCGACAACAATTATACAAATTGAAGCGAGCATTGGACCAGAAATGATCACCAATTGCGAGTAAACGGCGCAAAGTGATCCTTCTTCACGATAATCCTCGACTTCATGTTGCATTATCAGTGAAGCAAACGTTATTAGAGCTGGAATAGTAAGTCTTACCGCATATCGCGTATTCTCCAGAAATTGCTCCATCCAATTATCACTTTCATCACTTTCATCGCTTGGAACAAGCGCGAAAATTTGTCGAAAATTGGATCAACTCCAAAGAAGAATCTTTTTATCGTCGCGGAATCCATCTCTGGCCAGAAAGATGGGAAAAAGTTGTAGGAAACGAGGGAACATATTTCGATTGAGATATTCGTTCATCATCCTGCTTAAGTAAATCAGTATTTGAGAAAAAAAATCTTCAAAACTAAATCACACTCCTAACATTATAAATATGTATGGACACCGCTGTGTAATGAGCTGCTAATGGCAGCGGTTAAAAAATATCACTAAGCGAATTTTCGCTCATCCTAGCATTCATATTTAGTGGTTAAGGAGAGATCGAAGGAATCGATCGTCGTTCAGCCGTGTGCACGCAGAAGACTATTCGATCGATGCGACTGATCTTCAGCCGCGACAACCGAAATCTTCCGTTTTCCGGAAGTCGGCTGAAAATTCGGTTGCGATACGACCGAGAAATTCTGTTAGACGGTTTCCGTTGTCCCAGAAATATCTTCGGTCACCTGAATCGAACATCAACAAGTTACAAGTTTCGTCCTTCACGCGGATAAACGGGGCGTCCCTGTATACGTAAGTGGTAAAGGGAGGAAAACGCTTGCGCGGCCGGCTTGAAAATCGCATCATCGGCGGCGTGTCATTCAACTTCTTCGGACGAATCTTCTCGCTTGCGGTGACTGAAATTTCGTTTCTCTCTGTGCGATGTAGTCGCGCGCCTTCTGCGAGAGTAGTCGATTACTCTGCTGCGGTGACTATATTGTCGAGACGGAAAAAAGGTTACAGTTTCTCCGGTCAAAAGCGGTCTTTGCTTTGCGGAACAGCATTTTCCGTTGCCACAACAGGACCTCACATGTAACAGAAAATTTCTGGTCGTCACTGCAGGATATATTCGAAGCTCGCCTCGCGTGGGTCCCCTTAAGGGGACCGGAGAGTCAGATTGCTGAAAAATCGTGCTTGTTTTTGACAATATCTTGTGACGAACTGAATTACAGCAAAAATGAAAATTTTGGATATATTTATACAACGTATGAAGAGCAGAAAAATTTTGTTTATTAACAAATACTCATAAATATACGTCCACTTAAACGCGTTTTTCTCGAAATTTTATTGTTCAACTTTTTGCAGTGATTTCTCCGAAACTGAGCTTCGTATCGATTTGAAATTTTAGAGCAGTGATACTCGTTCATCTGGCTCTCGGGCGAATCATGGACAACTTCGTCAAACTATTTCATTTCGAGATATTAAATTTTTTATTGTAAAAGAACTGAAAAATTTGAATTTTTTCCTAATAATAGCTGCTAGTTTGTTAATTTTGTTCGATTTTTTATAGTGATTCACCGGATAATGATAAGCCCTTTCAAGATTTCTAGCTAAAATTCGCTCTGGTCGGATCACCGAGAGCCAAGATATTACTGCAAAAGCAACTTGAAAAAAAAGAGTATGTTTCAGTTATATATATCGTATATTTATATGAGTATTTGTTAATAAACAAAATTTTTCTACTCTTCATATATTGTATTAGGTGCACAAATAAGTAACTTCTTTAAACCTTTCACCGCTGAATTAACTTCCCTTGAGAAAATTATCAAAATATTTGGTGGTCTTGTGTTTTTCGAGTCGCTGATTACGAATCTGAAATCAGATTTGCGAAATTCAAAATGGTGAATTCAATATGGCGACCATAATGTACGAAATTAATATGATAAAAATTCCGATTATTATTGATGATATATGGGGTTTTCGAATCGCTGATTACAAATCTTTTGAGTAAAATAATATTGATAGTATGGATAAGATGGAGATACAGAATGAAGAAAACTAGGAAAATAGAGCTAAAAAGTGTAGAAAAATCCAATTTTGGCCGTTTTTGTAGAAATATTTGTTTGTAAAAAAAAATCTAATCTGCAAAAAAATACTGAAAAAAAATATATGTTTTTGTACATCAGAAAAATATTTAGTGAAAATTTCAGACCTCTACATTCAATACTCTTCGAGGAACCAATTTTTCCCTAAAAAAAGCATTTCTTTCAACTTTGATTTATTATAAATAATCACAAATGAATAATTGGATATAAAAACTTCTTGGAGTGTGTTGAACAACTATTCAGTTATCTGGAAGACTCAAATCCTCGATTAGTTCTTCAAAATTATGTGATTTACAACGCAAAATTGAATCAAGAAAAGGTGAGAAGTATACTTTGCACTAACAGTGAAAGGGTTAAGGCTAAGGAATTAGCTTTAAAACAATCAAATTTTCTCGCTCTCTTACGGTTATGTAGTGTTGACATATAGCTATTAAAAGTTACATTTAGTATGGCGGGAGGCTCAACACAACCTCAAAAATTATTCAGTTCAATACAGTGAAAAATGACGACAGATGAGGTGCATATCCGACACTGCACTTCTTTACGAATTCCAACAAGGAGAAAATGCACTGCAAGAGCATGCGAATCGATTTGTCCCTTTCTCGACGAAGCTGTCGTATCGTACGATGTGTGTGCATTTTGGTTTAGACGGTTTAAAAGCGGCGATTTCAGTCTGAGTGACAAAGAACGCCCTGGAGGCCCTCGGAAGTGCGGCAACAATGATTTGAAGCAGCTGCTTGCTGAGAATTCAGCACAAACGCAAAAGAGCTTGCGGAGCAGTTAGGAGTAACGCAACAAACTGTCTCCAAACGCCTACACGAAGTGGGGAAGATTCAGAAAGAAAGAAAACGGGTTCCGCATGACGCAGCGCTAGGCTACACATTGCTTTTACGACAAGAGACATCATAATGAGTCTTGGCTGGGACGTCTTGCAGCACGGCCGGCGTATTCACCAGACATCGCTCCTACTGAATACCACGTTTTTCTGACCGATGGCACCATGCCTTGTTCGATATGCGCTTCAAAGCAGTGGATGAGATTCGAAAATGGCTTGACGACTTTATCGTGTCCAAAGACGCAACATTTTTCCGACATGGAATTCGCCAGCTGCCTGAAAGATGGCTTAAAGTTATGGAAAACAACGGCGAATATTT